AAAAAAATACCTTTATTTTATTCATTTATTTTTATGTGGTGCTGAGGATTGAAGCCAGTGCCTTGCATGTGCTAGGCGAGCACTTTACTGCCATAGCCCTAGCCCCTCTCCACCTTTTTATTATTGGCGCATTTTAGTTGTGCATACTAATGGGATTTGTTCTTATATTTTTATACATGCACACAATATAATTTGGTCAGTATCATTTGGGGACCTTTTGATGTATGAATTGTAGATGGAGAAAAGTGGATCAGAAGTGTTCTAACTTCGGGAGCTAATGTTTAGTTATGCCATTATAGATTAGAGACTTAGCATGTTTCAGGGAAGATAAGCTGTTATTTTTGGGAAAACTGAGATAACCTGTCATGGAACTCTTTGTTACATATGTACTTGGAAAATTTATGTATGTTGATATCTGCTTGTAAAGATTTGGGAATGTGTGGGGTTGCCCAGATGAGTCCTGAGAAGAAGAGGACAAATGCTTGTAATTGCAAAGTTTGCCATTCCTACTGCATCTTGCTCCCTTTCCTAGGCCCTGATTTATCATGTCCTGTGTAATACTTTGCACAGTGTTCAGTGTTGAAGGATGCTGTTGGTGTTTCTTCTATTAAACTGAAGGCCAGATGCTTCCTGATTAATTTAGGCACCAAAACCTGGGTAATGCAGTGTTTTATTGTGCTAAAAAGGTGTGAGTTTAAAATCATAATAATGTTACCATTTTCAGTTTTAAAATCTGCATGAGGACGTGCTTACTACAGATAACTGGTTATAAACAGCTATATTTGGATGTAGAAAGTGTGAGGAAAAAGCCATATGATTCTGATAATCTGCAGCATGAGAAGCTACTCCTGAAGGTAAATTTTTGTTTGTTATATTTGGAATTGTTTAATACTGGAAAACTTCATCAGTATGAGCTGGGTCCATCTGTGAGCAGATTCTAGAGACTCATTTAGCCATACAGTTTTTCTGCCCCTTGGAAAACTTTACTGTTAGATTTCTTATTATGGAAAGTTTTTAGTCAACAATTTTTATAATTTTTTGATAAGTATCATTAAGAGATTTTCAAATGAATTTTATTCTAATGCCTTTAATATCAAAATAAATTACAAATTCATAAAGGGAAATCTTTTTAACCAAAAATATAGATCTCTAAGCCTCAGATTTTTCTCTCTACTTTTTATATAAATTATTCATGTAAGGTTAGCATTTTTTAGCTGTTCTGAAATTATGAATATGGATGACTCATTACAGATTATTATGTCAAACCTTTTGGAATTTATGGAATGTTGAATATTAATTGCCGAATAATGCCACAATAGATTGAAACATTAAGAAAGTAAGAAGAAAATTATTTATTTTTTCTTATTTCTGAATGTAAATACATAAGACCAATGAGGTGCCAAAATTAAGGAATGTCAGATCTACAGTAAGCTCCACAGATGTCTCCTGTGCCCTGTTGTTGTAGGGATGAGAATTCTAAGGCCCAGAGGAGATGAAGTGATTCCCTGTAGGTACTAGGTGGTCGGGCCTGGAAGAGACCTGAGTCTCCTGCACGTCGACTGTACCTGTTCTAATTATATTTTAAACTGGTTAAAATGAAAGAAAAGCACAGTGCAAATTTTTATAACTAAAAGTACTGTGGAAATAAACATTGGCAGTATCTAAATAAGAGACTTGAGTTTAAAAACAACAAAATCCTTTTTTCCCCAGGAAAAGTATAAAATATATACTTCATCTAAGTGGGAAAAGATAAATAAAACTTGATTTTGTAAAATGAAACTAACAAAGGGCCATTGTATAGATTGAGTTTT